CGAAAAAGGCCTCCCCGCCCCCCCCCACACAAATCTCAACCAGTCTTTCTTGTTGTTTGTCTTGCTCAATCTCTGTTTGGCCCTGCCCTGCGCTCGCCTCGCTTTACCTGACTCACATTTTGTGTTTTGTTTTTCACTGGCGAAGTGCAATCAGTAATCTCACGGTAAAAAGAACAAGCAGAAATTAAGTAAGACAGCATTCCATCTTTCTTCCGCGAACGCGGCTTGCCTGTCTGAAGGCTTATGTGTTTTGTTTACTAGTTGAAAGTTTTGTGGATATTGCGTCTTTTTGGATCCGAAGTCGGCATTGTGATATGACGGTTCTTTTTCGGAGCCAAGACAATTGGCAATCGATCCAGTCCACAATCTCAGCGAATTACTCGCTGCAGCAGTCAGCGTCTTCTTCGTCGTGGTAAAAAGATGCAAATCAATTTGAAAAAAAAAAAAAGGCCACTTGAGGGTCCCGCGCGCGATCAGTGCTTCCCACTCGCTCTAGCAATCAATAAATCGGTCTATGTTTTCATAATTTATTGCCAGTGAGTCGATGAAGTAAGGTGATAAATTTTTTATTCATCCTCTAAGAATGCATGCATACAATATATCCCTAGGTCTTCGCAAGTAGCTTCTCTTGCATGCGGGAAAAGGGGAGAATTTTTTTATTCTTCTTTCTTTTTGTTTTTTTCGCCCTTCTTTGAACAAATCTGTCTTTATTCTCTATCTTTTGAGGGTGTGCGAGGAAGGTGTGGATTGTGGATTGTGTGTGTTCCGGTCTTGTTTGCCCGTTTGCTGTGCTGTGCGTTTTTGCTTCGGGCGAATGCATTGCAAAGTTGTTGTTTTTCCACTGCAGTGCCTCTACGATCAATCCACAGATGCGGCATCCCGGAACAGAGTGGAGAGAGAGAGAGAGTGGCCTTGACACGTGGCATAGGCTCGAAGGGCTTTTGACACGTGGCATCCATTTCGCTTCAGAATTATTTCGTAAAGGAGGCGGGAACACTGAAGCAGGCGCACATCGTTGACTTATTGTGCAAGCGAGGAGGATCGCACATCGTTGCTCTTCCGCAGGAGAGAAGGGAAGAATGGAAGAATTGCGTCGGAGAAGCGCGGGTGGGTCAGAACGTCTAGACTTCTTTTCGGACCCCTGTCAGCGATTGAATGGAGGGCGCAGCAGCAGAAATAGATTGGCCTGTTGCAATGATGAGGAGGGAGATAAATTGGCCTATCGCCATAGCCATAGCCGGGTGGTACGTCATCCAACGAAGACCGTCTGTCTTCTCAAAATCGCGCCGTGCCGATCGCACAGCTCGCCGCGCGAGTCTTCTTGTGAGATTCTACTCTCCCCTTCCTTTTTTTTTTTTTTTTGATGTCGTGTTCGAAAGTAACTGTGTGGCCATGGGTTTTACTTTCTCCTTTCTGTTCCTCAATTTGCTGTCTATTTTCTCCTTCCCATCTTCCTCTGCAGCTTTCTTTTCCTCAACTTGCTGTCTATTTTCTCCTTCCCATCTTCCTCTTCAGCTTGCATGGTTGTTTTCCACTGCTTCTCCGACCCTCTCACTCTTCGGCATCTCTCTCTCTTTTCCTTGTCCCTCTCTACCTCCCGCTCTATTCCCTGTTTGCCCCTCCGCGCTATCCACTCTCCGTTGTCCCGGCTCCTGTCTCCCCTTCCGTTTGCTCCGTTGAACCTCCCTCTCCGTGTTGTGTCCTATTCTCTGCGCTGTACACCGACTCCGACGCCTTCCCAGTTTCTCCCCCTCTCCTGTGACCATCTCTACCGTCGTCATCACTGCCGTCCTTCTCGCTGCCGTTCCCTTGAAAGTCTCTTCCGCTCCCCTCTCTACATTCTCTCTCCGTTCCCTTCTCTTCCCCTCTCTTTTCCATTTTTTTTTTCTTTCCTCGCTCCATTTTCTCCGTTCCCTGCTCTTCCTTTTCTCCTTTCCATGTTCCATTTGCTCCCCCTCTGTCCCTCGCTCGTTCATTTTTGTCCTTCATCCATCTCTAAGTTCACCTCCGTCTCTCTTTCATCATCCCTTTCACTTTTTTTTACCCCTTCCGGCGCTATTGCTCGCTATTCTTACCTACCCCCTTTGCTCCCTCTACTGTGGCTTTTGGCCCCTGCCACCCTCTCCCGGCGCAGCTCTTTCTTTGCCTCGCCTTTTTTCTGTTGCGCGCTATCCTTACTATCATTTCTCGCGGACGTTCTCCTTTCCCAGAGCTCCTTAACTGCTCACTGTCGTCTTTCCTTTTCTGTTTCTTTCCCTGGCTTGTCCATGCCTGCCGCCGAACCTCCTATGCGCCCTTTCTGCCTATTGCAATTACTAGTATTGATCCATTCCGGACTTATTTTTGTCGACCAGCTTTCATGATGCGTGTCTATTGTACGTTTTTTTTTTTTTTTTTTTGCACTTCTTTTTTTTTTTTTTTTTGCACGGTATTTTGGAGTGTGCGTCTGCTCTCTTTTTTGTCTTTTTCGACGTATGTCGTTGGACGTTATGGAAGCGTCGTGGTTTAGCGGACATGTCTCGTGTAGAAGTCTCTGCATAATTTGTATACCGCCTTTCACCTTGTCGGTGTGTCCTCGGGCTAAATCGTGTGTTCTATCTATCACCTTGTCGCGTCTCCTAGTGATCCGGCTGTTCGGCTGGCTCTTCCCAGACGGCTTTCCTCTCGTCTTTCGACTTTCTCAATTTTCCCGCTCTTTTCGCAAAACCTCTGTACTTTCTGCACTCCCCTTCCTCTGGGCGCAAGAGGAAGGGGAGTGCGGAAGGGGAAGGGGAGTGTGGAAACCACAATTTACGCGAAGTATATATAGATAAGATTTGCGCAAAGTATATGTAGATAAGATTTGCGCAAAGTACAGAGAAGATCAGTAAGTACACGGAAGATTTGCGGTGGAGAGTACAGAGAAGATTTGTGGAAAGTACTTGCGGAAAGTACAGAGATGATTTGCGGAACAGAGCAGGGAAAAGGAGCAAGTTGGAAGAAGGGAGGGATCAAAGCTGCCTGTATTTTCTGCGCTGCGCTTCCTCTTCCGCCCCCCTTTCGCCCCGGTGTTTTCACTGTTCTCTTTCCCTCTCCTAGCACGGCCTCCGTTCTTGAGTACGCGTATTGCCAACCGTTACACATCTCCTTTTTTTATGAACTGACCGTTTACGCGTACTGCTAGACGTTACCCATCTCTCATTCTCTGTTCAGTAGATTTTGTCTTCCATCTCTCGACGTCGGCACTGCCGTCTTCACCCGAATAGAGCGCCCGGTCATTATCGCCGTATCTTCCCAAATACGGCTTTAATGAGCGGGCGTTCTTTTCGGGCGAAGACGGGGTGAATTTTTAATCTTTTTTTTAATCTTTTTTTTTTCATTTTCATGTACCGGTGTTTTATCTCCTCACGATGTACTCTCACTAGGGCTTCCTCAACTGTATCTATGTACCCTTTTCACTCCCAGATACATCCAGGAAAGCCTGGCTCTTTTGATCACTGTGAGTATGCCCTAAGGCCCCCTCCTCTCTCTGTTGAGCATTGTGGTAATCTCAATCCGGGCATACATATGTTTTCGTATCAAAAATTCTGCACGATGACGACGGCCATTTCCACAGAATCATCACTTTTCTCTTTCTCTGTTCTTTTGCCTTTCTCCTCCTGAAATGTTTTCCTTGAGTATAGAACAAACAAAACTTGAGTATAGAACAAACGCGCCTTGGCTTGTTTTTTTGACGTGCAAATCGGCAGCAGCAGTTTGCCATAGTCGTCTTTTATGGAACGCCTTTTATTTATTTACTATAGAAGCTTATTCACGTCAATTAATAGCCCTTGATCATTGTCGATTCTGTAAGCGCAGTCGATAGACCACCTCACTCCTACTCTTTCGTTTTTCTCACTCTACTCTTTTCTTTTTCTTTTTTTTTGCAAAACTCTCATTACAGCGGGTAAAATTGAGGCCGGGGACCTCACAATTCAACCCGGATTTATCCTGGCAGCATTAGCCAGTATAGCTTATTTCGTTTTTCTCTCTTTCGTTTTTCCTGGTCGTGAGGGTAGTAATAATAATTCAATCTCCAACCGCAGTCGTCGTCGCTAGTAGACCTCGTCGTCGACTCTTTCACCCCGTCGTCAAATCTTTCACCCCGTCGTCGTCAACTTCTACAAAAACTCGAAATTTTTAATTTGTTTTTGTTATGGGCTGATGGACCACGGATTAAATGTTTAATTGATCAATTCTGGTACTGCAATTGTTCTCAGCCAAGGGTTGAAAAGTCGACTCAGGAATAAAACTTCTACAAGAAGCTGGATTTTAGTAAAAAGAAAACGAAAAAAAGAAGAAGAGTATTTGGACTTTCTTTTTGCCACTGACTGGATCGACCCTGACTGGATGGGTTCGCTGTGAGCGATTGAGTGTGTGGCTCCACGCAGTGTTCCAGGCTGGGAAGGGGGGGTGCAGTGCCCCGCCCCCGCTAGGGGCGGTTTTTCACCCCAGCACACTTGCGCTGAACCCATGGGTTCAAGATGACGGCCTGAGCGGGGGGTTAACGGTCGGATTTGGGACCGCGAGACTGTCGATTTTTTTAACGGCTTGATCTTTAGCAAGGCGGGGGCGGTCGACCTTTGATGGGTGTGAAACAACCAATTGAAAGCCGCTTCGACTCGGGCACGAGCCCCAGTTTGATTAGCAGAAGGTCACATGCTCGATTCTCGTCGCTGGACTATCGTCTTCCCCCGAACACAGCGCACCCTCATTTTGGCTGTATCTGGCCGGAAATATAGCTTGTATACATTCATTTTTAGGGTGCGTTATGTTCGGGGGAAGACGGTAGCGGTGGTGTGAAATCATGGCCGGCAACAAGATTGCGGCTACCGGTAGTTCGTCGATTCGTTGAGCCGAGGTTCTCTAAGCCTACCGCCTAACCCCTAAACCCTGAACCCCTGTTTTTTTTTTTTTTTTTTTTTTTTTTTTGAAAAACGCCTCCGTAGTGGTAGCGGTGCTGATAAGAGCAGACACCCGTAGCACTCTGGGAAGGGCTCCATCTATTATTGGTGGGGAGCGTCACCTGCTGGAAAACGGGTCCAGCCTCCCCATATACAGAATGAATCAGGAAGATAACCAAAACAGCTGAGGAAAACTGCCAGCATTAGTTGCTCTGGCATGCAGAGGATCCAGAGGATTATCTGTGGCAGGTCCTTGAGGAAAGTGGGGGGAGGGGACTCTCCTGCTGAAAATGCCAACAACCCTGAACCCTAAATCCTAAATTTAGAAATCTTGTCACTGCGGCCCGAATGTAAGGATCTCCTTGGGCGTATACCGATTTCCTGTACCCGTTTTTTTTCAGTATAGCCAATAGCTGTAAGATGGAATTACTGTCTTGTTGTTCAATAGGAAAGACTATATCTTATATTCGGATCATTGAGTTAAAGCTCATGTTGCTGCTTTTTTAACTATTGACAAAAATGCAACTAACTCTATTCGATGTGTATAGGAGAGAGTTAGAGTCGAATGAAAGGTATTCTGTCGTTTCGAACCATGTGTGTAAGTTTGCCTTTTTGTGCATCTGTCAATGGTTCTAGTTTTTTTTTTTTTTTTTTTTTTTTGTTCTATTTGTTATATAAAGATTGCATGTTCTGCAGATTTGAACATGTAAATAACGACCGTTTGTCGGTTTTGCTCCGATCTCGCCAATTTGTGCAGGCGGCAGCGTTCGCGAAATGGAGTCGGATAGTTGCTCGGTCACAGCGACTCGTTGCCAACAACGGTAAGGCGCCTGCTTCGGATTTTCTTTTTCTCTCTTCGTTCTGTTTTGGGGCGTCGGCCCACGGCACACGAAACGAAAAACGAAACGAGTGCATCTTCCTGCAGAAAATGGCCAGGTTCATCGGTTGCCTATAAATAGTAACGAGTGTATTTTGCCGCCTTTCGTCGGCAGATGCGCTCGTTTCGATTTCGTTTCGGGAGCCGTGTGGCGAGGCCCTTGCTCTTGTGCATTACCTTTCATCCTTCCTAGAGCACGAGCTCCGTAGTACGACCTTTAGATATATGGCGCCTGCGCTTTTCGTTTCTGATCTTCACTGCGTAAGGTCTTATCAGTGTTTTTTTTTTTTTTCTCCAAAACCGAACGAATCGATTCATGTATTAAAACTTTTCATTTCTAGTCGTCACTGCTTAAGGTCTTATCAGTTTGTTTTTTTTTTTTTTTTATAACCAAACGAATCGATTCATGTATTGAAAAAAGGGCGGGGAACTCACAATTCCACCCGGAGTTATCCTGGCAGTATTAGCTAGTTAGCCAGTTTCGCTTAATAGATAACAGTTCTCGAAGAATTTTGCCTAATAGTTTTTTGTTTTACTATTTCGTCCTGAATGCAGAAAGCATGACGCGGCTAATCTTTTTTTCTGAGCAATCAAGTGTTTTTTCTCAAAAAAAAAAAGAAAGCACGATAATGCACTGATGGACTGGTCGATCACTGACATGTGAACTCGAATGAAATTCACATAGCCAAAGGAATTGCCTGATGGACTGCCGCGGTGAAATATAGTATGTACATTGATCTAATGGAGGCATTTTGTTTTTATTCCCGTGATTGTTCGCCTCGCCAATTTATTTGACTACTACAGTATATTCAAAACTTTTATTTGACTACTAAATTATATTCAAAACTTTTGGATTCATTTTTACTGTAAGATTGTGAACATTCTGAATTGACTATGAAAAACTCGTCGGCTTTTTTAAGCATATGAGAATGCACTGATGGGGGCTGGACCTTGTCTGTCTGACATGTGCTGTATTGATTCGGGGGGCGTTGCAGAAAGGGGGCGAAGGAAGGCGATTTGTGGCGGCGGGGTGCCGATGGATGTGGCGCTCGAGCAGAGTATCGTCGAGTGCGTGGAAGTGGTTCGATGTGTCAGAGTGCCAAAGCTGAAGAAGAGCGACACATTGAATCGTCCCAGTGTCTAGACGAAGGGTTGCACGTGGAGTTAGGTTGTGGATCTTCGAATGATGGAATGCCAGCCACGAGTGGAGGGATGTATGACCGAAGGAGGCGGTGCGAGGGGATTGGCTTGTTGCACGGCACGGAGGATAGCGATACGGTTGTCCTCTTCGGCTCGATGAGCGGGAGCATTGCCTCTTCGCGTCGGGATAGCGTGCCTCCTCGACCATGTCAAGAGGGTCTTGTAGGCGATTCTACCACTCTCTCGGATGAACAAGAGGTGTCAAGAGCTGCAGAGGTAATTGATCCGCCGAGGTCATCGAATCCGAATGAGAGTCTACACGGCTTTCCTGTAGGGTCTTCTTGTCGGGTGATGCCAGCAACAGATCGCCATAGATATGATGCTTGCTACGACGACGAGGAGGATGAGCAGGAAGAAGAACAGAAGGCTGCAGACGGCATTGATGGGCAGAGACAGAAGGCCAGCGTGGACGCAACAATGGTGGGGACCAGTAGCAGCTCGGGGGCGAACGATATCTTCGTTCGTAAGAGCGTGTTGCTGAGGACGGATGACGTGAGCTCCTCCCTTCGCTGTGATGATGACCGTGTGATTGATATGGTCATCGAATCGAGTGGTGAGAATTTTCTCCGCCAATTGCGAATGTTCAAATCCGCTCAAGATATGTCTGTTATGAAGTCGTCCTCGCCGAGCATTACCCACCGAAGCAAACGAAGAAAGAAGAGGCTGGGGCGCACAGCTCCAGTTCCAGCGCCAGCGCCAGCGCCAGCGCCTGCTGCTGCTGCTGCAAAACCGGAAGCGGTGTTTCTTCCGTGGAGGACAAGTTCTGGTGAAGGTCGTCCTGCGGAAGCAAGCAGCTCGCTGTTTCAGCGATTTCTGAAGAAGAAGGGGGGCGAAGATGGCCGCGTTGGCAGTGCCAGGGACAAGGATGACGTCGAAGTGGCGATGGCGTCGTCGTCGTCGTGGGGGGTGAGCAAAGTGATGCTTGGGGGTGGAAGTCGTGTCCGCGGCGGTACAAGTGAGATGACCAGCGAGCCGTCGACGGTGGCAGAGAGGACCTCTGTGCGACCCGGGTTTCGTCTTAGTAGGAAGGAGGAGGTAAGTGTGGGAGAATTTTCGGACGCGTTGATGTCATCATTTTGTCGTGCGGATGCCAACTGGTCTCTGGCGGGAAAAGTGACTCTGGATGAGGGGGAAGAAAGCGACAAGAGGGAGGGGAGGTTGTGCCGCTATGCCTCTATGGACGACTGCACCGTGAATTGGGAAGCCGATTCTGGTGAGGGGTGTGGTGATAAGAGGATGGAATCTTCTTTGGAGGTGACGTCGAGAGCGAAGAACGAGGCATCACTTAGGCAGCGGGTGGGGTCGATGACTTCTTACGGTGGCGGTGAGATGAGTGGTCTTGGCTGCGTGCCTGACATCCCCCGTGGCAATGCAGGTATGATCTCCACCTCCCTCCTCTCCCCTCGCTATTACGAAACTTTGACAGCCCCTCCTCATTTTGATCGTTGCCGCGGTGAATATGACCTGGATGATGTCGTTGTTCTTGGAGATGACTATGATGATGATGATGATGATGGTGATGATGATGATGATACGGAGCTGCGACTCATCCATGACCACGAGGGCGGTTGTGACGATGATTACATTAGCCACAGCAGTGGATTCGATGACGAGAGGATGATGGAGATTGGCGTGGAAACGAGGGAGGGAACGGAAGCGCTTTGCGACACCAGGGAGGAGTCATTAACAGCGGAGGCGTTTCTTGCATCGGTGGCACGTGGGAGGGAGGAGGCGGAAGGGATGGCAGACGCAACAGCAGCGTGCCACGCGCCGGTCGTCGACCTGTGGCCCGAGCTCGAGTCCAAGTTGTGGCAAGTTGCTGCTAGCAACAACTCGTTTCTCAGGTGCCAGGCGGAAGAGAGGGAAGACGAGGAGGTTGATGGGTCTCCCGATGCAAATGTGGGAAGGATGAAATCTTGGGAGGAAGACGACGACCTGTTCCCCGCACCGTCTTCATCGGCGATCATCGACGGCTGTAAGCGCTTCTCCTCGTCGTCTCAGATGTGCGTGCGCAACGCGCCGCCGTCGGAGTCTTCGTCACTGTATTGCGACGATGCGAGGGATCGATGGGGCCCGGCAGCGCTGGGAGAGTTGGGTCTCCAAGCGCGGAACAGGAGGAGAGAAGGAGGAGGTCGGTCCAAAGGTGCCTCGAAGAACGAGTGTAAGCAACCAAAGGCGTGTCTCGACTTTGTTCTGGATGATGGAGCTGCTCGAAAGTCCGATCGGCCACGCTTTTCGTTCGAAGCTGAAGGCGAGGGGGACGTCAAGGGCCAAGGCTTCCTCCATACGTTGGGGGGGTCTGACATGATGATGATCATCTCGCCTTCGGACGTATCCGTGGAGAAGGAAGGGAGACGAGATGCTTCATGGAGGCGGAAGGAACAGAAGCTAGGGAGAGCGAGTGTTGTTGACAAGTTGCGCACCAGTGTGGTGTCTTCTCCAACACGTGGGTGTAATACCAGGAAGACGAAGGTCGGCTATGGCGATGTTGATGATGACGATGATCAAAAGACTTGGTGGAAGGCATCGTCCGACTCACGGAAGCTATTTTTGGCAGACGAGGAGGCGTGTTTGAAAACGCGTGTTGTGAAAGAAGACCCTGCTGGCGGAGTGGTGGTGGTACCGCAAGTGGGTCCCAAGCAGCGCTCGCCGTGGTGGTCAGCCAAAGAGCAAGAACGCGATGATGTCGGGTTAGCCGAAATTGATTGCGACTCGTCGATTTGGAAAGAGCCCCGAGAATCGAGGAACTCAAATGCACTAGCCTCTGTTCCCGAGGGGTTGGCCGAAGAGGCACAAGGTGAGAAACTCCGGGGGGGGGTGGATGGTGATGAGGGGTCTGTTTCCAGTGACGAGGACAAGTGGGAGTGGAATGAGACGGTCGACTCGCCGGCGATGGCATCATCCCAAAGGAGGAGCAGGAGGCAAGAAGAGAGGATTCGAAAGTTGGGATGGGAGCTGGCCATAAGGAAGATGCAGAAGGTGACAGAGAGAACGGTATCGAGAGTGCAGCAAGCGGGAGCGGTTTATTGTGCAAATAGCAAGAGAGGACAGGAGATCGAGGTCAGTGGAGCGCCCGAGAGCGACGGCCGTGCTTTCGGGACGTCGACGTGTCCCGGGGGTGTGAAGATTGCTGCGGGCATTGCTTCGGTTGCCGCGGTGGGGGCCTTGTTTACGTATATTTGTAGGAGAAGAAGTGGTCGCTGGAACTTGCTGTCTGAGTAGTCTGAGTAGTCGGACGTGGGGGGTAGCAAGAAGACGAGGGAACATGTGGGAGGAGTGTAGTAGTAGAAAACCATGCAGAAGAGGGCTGGGCTGGAGTTTGTCTGGCCCGATGCGCCTTTTTTGCAGACAAGGGGGTGTCGTTTGTCGTAGTGCCGGATTTCCAATTCCGACTGCAATTCAGTTAGTCGAGCGCCCTGCATACTTATTTTGTACTGTGAACATTTGATTGTTGCGAAGTCGGTGATGGTGTGGAAGTGTAGAGGGGTAGCCGGAGACACACACAGTGAGAGAGAGAGAGAGAGAGAGAGAGAGAGATGTACAGTTGGGAACAAGCTTGATAGAGGAGACAGATTCAACTGTTCCTCCTCGGTTGCCTCCGGGAATAGGTTCGTTTTGCAGCTTTTAGTGTTTTGAGACTCTGAGTGAAATGCTTCCACTGCGTTGTTGTTTTTAGATATATGAAGGGCAAACTGCTTGCAACGTGCGGCATGCGTTTCTTTTTGAAATGCGCGCTGCCAAGGTTAGGACCAGGTGTGTGCGGGCATGATTGGAATTCTGGAATTCCCTTCCTTCCCCGTCGTTTGCCTATGTATTTTGTCGTGTGTAGATGGACCCATGATTTTTATTGTCTTTTCTTTGTTTTTTTTTGTTTTTTTTTGCAGCCCCGGAATCGTTGCCGTGTGGAAATTCATTTTCCATGTATTTCCAACCGAGTTAATGCTTTCGTGAATTGTAGGAGAGAGGCATACCAGACGGGTGGGTCGGGGCGTAGGCGACAGTCAGTTTCATTATTATTAGGGTGTCTGCGTACGAGAACCTCGTGTACGCGCGATTTTGTGTTCGTCAGCGCTCGGTAGTATTTATTTCTGAGACATGTAGTATTTATTTCTGAGAGACATGGCAGCAATCAATTTCAGAACTCAGGGCATACTCACACTAGGACTTTTTTCGATTGAGCTCTAGACGCTGTTGAGGTCAGATGCATCGAGCTGTGGCCGTAATTGCAGTCAGATTCATTCTGAAAATTCCTAGTGTGAGTATGCCCTTAGTGACCATTTTTTGACAGTTTTGGATTTGAACGATTTGAAGGACCTAGGGTTGTCATCATGTAGGCGGAGAAGGTGGTAGGGCGTACTCACACTACCACTCTTCGGAATGAATCTGACCGTAATTACGGCCAGACGTGGATCTATCTGGGTGTATTTCCGTCCAGAAATAAGTAAAAAGGTCCTAGGGTGAGTAATAGGACCGTAAATACGGCCAGAACTGGATGTATCTGGTCCAGATCCTGTTACCAATTGGGGCGTTTCATTGTTCATTATGACATTCGGATTGGGCGAACAGCCTAAGACGTGATGTTGCTCTTCATTTCAGCTACATGTTGCTGAAGTTCGTATGTATGTAGGTTCAAAGGGAGAGAGAGGTGGGCGCATTGTCGCCTGTGTTTTTCTGTGTCGGTGTCGTTGAACACCTACGGCCGAGCGATTTAAATAAAAACGTGTTTCGAGAGGAAGAAAGGGATCTCTGCTTCAAATCGTGCTGTGTATTTACTTCTTTATACATTATGCTGATCGAGATTGTGTGCTTTGCAGTGCAAGTGCGCGTGAGACAGACAATGTGGGGAAACCTGCACGTTCCCTTCCTCTCTCTCTCTCTCTCTCTTTCTCTCTCTCTCTTTCTCTCTCTCTCTCTCTCTCAAACACACACACACACACACACACAGAGTGCCTGTGTGTGAGAAAGAGCGTGTGCGTTTGTGTGTTTGTGTGTGTGTGTGTTTGTGTGTGTGTGTGTGTGTTTGTGTGTGTGTGTGTGTGTGTGTGTGTGTGTGTGTGTGTGTGTGTGTGTGTGCGTCCGTGTGCGTGTGTCTGGGTGCAACTATCGGGATGCCATTTTGCATCTGTCCTGGCGTATTAGACAGGCACATTCTTGCCTGCAAATTGTAATGTGAGTATTAACAACGTCAAAGTGTAATTAAGTGTCAATCATATTTCTTTGCGCCTGAAAAGGTTTACGTATTGTTTTCTGAATGTATTGCAACACACCACCTTGCCTTCGCTATGCTGTCATACAGGGGGTAATGTATCACGTGCATGAATACCCTTCTGCCTGATGCGCCATTCTTGGTGCCAATCGGCGGTAATGCTTTGTTCTAGCGTGTGTGTGCGTTGTTCTAGCGGTAATGCTTTGTTCTAGCGTGTGTGTGCGTTGTTCTAGCGGTAATGCTTTGTTCTAGCGTGTGTGTGCGTCCGTGTGCGTGTGTCTGGGTGCACCTATCTGCCAGATGCGCTATTCTTGGTGCCGTACAGCGGTAATGTTTTGCACCTTGCATATCAACTACTTGTTCTAGCGCGAGTGAGTGAAGTGTTTACGTGTCGGAGCACAAAGCGTGTCATCATTTAATACCCCGTATGAGGATGGCATGGCATGGTTGAGGTAGGACAGCGAAATGTATCAAGATTGTGGTGCGCAATGCCATTCCTTCGACCGTTGTTCGACGTGCGAAGAAAATTATTTGTACATCTTAAACACAGTCGAAATTCCGCTTGTTCTCTTGTGCGGCTTGTGCCACGTTTTGCCCCAATGTGGCTTTTTCTCCTGAGGAGGCAGTGATCAATACTGTTTCAGTATGTCCTTGAGTGAGTATGTGTACTTTGAATCCACATGCATCATGGCTGTGCTGATCGTAATCGTGGACAAACACCCTCTCATTCGCTGGGGCATTATTTGAAGCTCTCCGGTTTGTTGTGAATGACACCCCTCTTATGTAGTCCGGATGAGATTATCACCCGATTTTATCATTATTACATTGTTTATTGTAAAGGGCGACAGCCTCGAGAGATCCAAAAAAAAAAAATCAAAAAACGAAATGATCATTGGAATGACTGGGACCACGTATCTGATCTGATTCCATCTGGATTCTTACTCTCCGGTATGTATGTGGTTCCGGTCAGTTCAATGTTTTTTTTTTTTTTTTTTTTTTTTTTTTTTTTTTTTTTTTTGAGACTTAGATCTATAGTCTCAGTTCGTATGTCGTTGGTGTATACCAACGGAGGTAGGCTCAGTTCGTGCTGATGAGACTTAGCACTACACCATCAGACTAACGCTTAATTGTACTCAAAGCTATTGTCGTTGAAGCTCATCATAAACATCAGCTAAGATCTATAGACTCAAGCCGAGCATCAGTCAGTATGCCGGCGGCACTGTTCACAAGTGATCTCTCTCAGGCAGACATGCGACAAGTAATTCATCCTACGTCCCAATTGCGCAAGGAAATGCATTGCACAACGTCGCTACAGGCCGGCGACTTGCAGATACACCAGATACAGGCTGGCGACATGCAGATACACCAGATGCAGGCTGGCAACATGCAGATAGACCGGTCGGTGGCTACGTGCAGAAACAGAGGTTGACGACATGCAGAAACACAGGTTGGCAAGTTTTTTGGTGTACTGTGGAGTCTTGTGAGGTTCTTGGAATTCCGCTTCTGCTCAAGTTCGGGCCTGTCATTAGGACATTCTTTTTAGGCTTACGACGTTTTCAGGAAATTGTTGAACAATTCCGGACGCCCATCATATCATATCATTTTTGTTTGGTCCATTGCACTTTTCCTCTGTCGAATTGTTTAAACCACAAGTTCGTTCCCCGCTAGGAAATGGTTACTTATGCGGCGCGTGTAGAGAGCTGTAACTTTCAAAGCTCCGAAAAAAAAAAAAAGAAAGAAAAAAAAGAGAGCTTGACATCCGTTAAAATTGGAACGATACAGAGAACGGTAAATAATCAGTATGGACCCTGCGCTGTCAAGGATGACACGCATCAATCGAGAAATGGTCCAAAAAAAAAAAACAATTTCAGAGCTCGACCTCGAGAGCAAAATGGCTGGGGGTTGCGACTGGTAGCCAAAAGGAGGGCCGTGTTGGTTCGGTTTTTTTTGGGGGGGGGGTTGGCGTGCAGGCCGTTTCCAGCCCCGGAGAAAGGTCCCTCGGAAATACTGTAGATTGGCCTGAAAAAAWAAMAACCKYTTTTCCATTTGTGGTCGTTCATGTAGGGTCTCTTTTTTTTTTTTTTTTTTTTTTTTTTKTTAAACCATTCACGCCGGTGGTAGTGGTGCTGATAAGAGCAGACACCACTACCACTCGGGGGAAGGCTCCATCTATTGGTGGGGAGCATCACCTGCTGGAAAACGGGTCCAGCGTCCCATGTACAATGTGATACAAAATGTGACACAAAAGAGAAGAAGACAAGTCCTGCTGGCATTGATTACCCTGAGAGCCAGGGGATTGACCAAGCAAGGGACTGAGATTGATTGAGCCGGATCGGGGTAGGGGACGTCTTCACCTCAAAATCGGCGCCAGATAATTTCTGCTATTTACTGGCTCCTCTAACCCCTACCAGCTCCCAAAAACTGTCGACTGCGGACCTGTACCCGTTCATGTAGGGTCTCAGTAATTCCATGCATCTAATTTTGTAGCAGCGTGGTCTTCATTTCCCTATTCGTTTGTGTGTGCGCCTGGTCTTCCTACTGCGTTCGTAGGGGACATGAGTCACCCTCAGACCCCTCTTGAAGATTTTTCTTCTGATATCGACTCATCTCTTGAATGTTTAGCGATGCTGTCTTCTTCTTCCAACTCTTCCTTAGGAGCTTTCTCTTTTCATGCTCTCTATTCAATAGGAGGTTTACTATCCTTGCTCTTTTGTAGGCTGGCTTGGAGTCTGGGGATGTGACCATGATTAGCCTCATGTTGTGAGTGTGGCATATTCTGGTACTGGATGTGAGGAGCTGCACAAGGAGTTCTTCCTGCCTTCTCTGAAGCTGACTTTCCATCCTGCTCCCAAGCCCCGAGTTTTTTTTTCAACCATGATTGTGGCAGGAGTGGTGCCGATTTTGTCCCTTTAGGAGAGATCATCCATTGATGTTTAAGGCAATTTGATTGCTTTCGTATGACCTCGGATCCTGGCAAGTTCATATTTTAGACCCCTCATGTCAAGTACCTTATTTCTCAATCCTCTCACCTCCCCCACTGACTTTGTGATCTTTAAAGCCCATTTTGTCCATTCCTTGTTTGATATCAGCGCGTTCATTACACATTCCTCTTTCTCTCACCTGTGCCTTCTGCTCTATTTCTTGCATCGTCTTCCCTGTCCCTCCCAATGTCTAGTTGATCATCTTTCTGACCCGAGCAGGTATGTGATCTTTAAATCCCATTTTGTATAGCACGGGCAGGTATGTGACGCACGAGAGCTTACATGAATGAACTGGTTTCTGACCCCCTTTCATCTTTTTTGAATGCTCCTCCAATCACCAGGCCTCCCTATGTGGGGAAGTGCACCTCGTCATGCCCTTGTTATGTGCGTTCCCTGCTCCAAATCCAGTTTCGGTTCCTGTAGCCGGCCCAGATCGCATTCCTGCCAAGTGACTACGTCAAGGTTCAGACCATTCCTATCAATCTTTTTTATATTTAAACAGGAGGCTAAACATTCCTATCAATCTGGGGTTGTACACTTGTGTTCTTCGGATTCAACACAATTCTTTAGGGCTTGTCCTCGATGGTGTTCTGTGTATGGTTTGTGTTAGTTACTCGGAATTGTTCAAATCCGGATATCCGGCAGATAAACTTTATCCGGAATTTTTAATCCGGATGAAAATTCCGGATTAAATCCGGATATGGAAAATCCGGCCCTGCGTAAAATATTTTTTCCACCAAAAAAAAAACAAAATCAAAAAAATCTGAAAAAAAATTATGTTGTTCATATCAATGATATGAACAACGTTTGGCTTGAGGCCATCTTTGATTACTCAACAGATATAAAGATAAGAAAATAAAACAGAACAAGAAAATAATATTTAGATAAAAAATTATTGAATGAATTAAGCATCCCCCCTCTAAAAACTTGTATTCCCTATCTTACTCCCTTTCAACCCTTCCATGACTTATCAAGCTTTTCATGAAATAGGAACGTAGTTCTATTGTATTTTGCATGCGCAGTATCAGTTTTTTTTATTATTATTATTTATTTTTTTTAACCCTTTTTTTTTAAAACCTTTTTTTTTAATCATCCGGATTTCCGGATGATCCTACCCCCCGATCATCCGGCCAGATAATCCCACCAGATTATCCGGCCAGATGACCCATGCTACCTAGGTTAATCCAACTTTCTTGGTCCTTTCTTTGTGCACTTTTCCGAATTGTTCTTTCAAGTTGTTCGAGAATTTGTTTCAGTTGGTATTTACGTGCGCCTTAGAGAGTGCACTCGGAGTTCTTTTCTCTTAGGCTTTTCGGGTTTCAAAAATCACGGACACCTGTTGGAATACTTCGTATTGAGTCCTTCATTTGTGCATCTGCCTTTTGAAATCAAGCCCTGTGAAATTTAGTTGATGGATGTTATAATTGGAATTTGCATGCCTTAGTGTGCACGCGAGGAATTTCCTTTTGAACTTTCCAATTTCAATTTGGTTTTAGGAATTGGGCGTATTTTCACCGGCACCTATGTATTTTGGTGCCTTTATG